AAGTTGCAATTCTTGAATCAATTGTTCAAGTGGGGTTGGATTATGTATTACCCTTACGATCTAAAACGATATATCCCGACGAACCTCCTTGGGTCAGCTCGACCCTGAAAGATCTCATTCGACGTCGCCAGAGGGCTCTCATGCAAGGTAACCTTCCATTGTTCCGTCTTCTCAGAAATCGAGTGAACCGCGAACGCAAGACCTGTAGAGCGAAATATTATGACACTAAAGTGGCACATTTGAAAGATTGTAATCCATCCTCATGGTGGAGTGAAGTCAAGAAACTAAGTGGCCTATCTTCCATGTCCTCTAGCATAAGTGACCTTGCAAATCATCTTCAGTGTTCTGATGGGACCCCCGAAGACGAAGTTTTGGCGAAAACAATCAACGAAGCCTTTTTATCTCCAATGCGTATCTTTGAACCCTTGCCGAATGATTATGATCCCCAGCATAATGACCCATCTGCAGAACCATCAGCAGTTCCATACATGGTCACCGCCGACAGGGTTTATTTAAAGCTCTCCTCCCTCAATCCAAAGAAAGCCACCGGACCAGATGGCATACCAGCTTGGCTGCTTAAGGAGAATGCCGATTTATTATTGGCTCCTATAACAAGCATTATCAACTCTTCCTTTAGCGAAGGGCGTCTCCCTCCATCATGGAAAAGTGCCGATATTGTTCCTATCCCTAAACAGAAACAAGTCCGGGACATTAACAAAGATTTACGCCCAATATCGTTAACACCGGTTCTATCCAAAGTAGCCGAAGAGTTTGTTGTAGAGGGGCATGTGCGACCGGCTGTAATAAAGAAGATCAACGATAACCAATTCGGATGTATACCGAAATCTTCCACTACGCAAGCTTTACTCAGCATGGTGCATACTTGGACCAAACATACTGACGGTTCTGGATCAGCAGTGCGGGTCGTACTTTTCGACTATAAGAAAGCATTCGACCTGATAGACCACAGTATCCTGGCTTCTAAGTTGTCCACCCTCAACTTACCGCATTCTATCTTGAGCTGGATATTAGACTATCTTAAGAATCGCAAGCAAAGGGTTAAACTTGGTCAGGACTGTAAATCTGAATGGGGTGATATACCAGCAGGGGTACCCCAAGGGACCAAGCTGGGCCCGTGGCTTTTCGCCTTAATGGTCGATGATATCGATGTCACCAACACAGATCTATGGAAATATGTAGATGATACTACAATCGCGGAAAATGTTGCAAAGAACCAGGCAAGTAGAATCCAAGACGATGTTAATGAGCTTATAACAAAATCGGGTGAGAATAAATTCCAATTAAATGAAAAAAAGTGTAAAGAAATGCGAATATCGTTTGCAAAGTCGCCTGCAGATTTCAACCCAATCATCGTTAACGGAAAAGCTATCGAGCAAGTTTCATGTGTCAAGCTACTTGGATTGAATATTACGAGAGACCTGAAATGGAACCACCATATATCGGAAATATCGCGAAAAGTGTCCAAAAGACTCTACTTCCTCAGACAATTGAAGAGAGCAAGAGTCGCAAATAAGGATCTGGTAATCTTTTACATCACATGCATTCGGCCCGCCATGGAATACGCCTGCCCTGTCTACCATAATTCACTGCCCAAATATTTGTCTGATGAACTTGAAGCCCTACAGAAGCGCGCCATGAGAATTATTTTGCCATTTGGTTCTTATTTTGAAGCATTAGAACTCGCTAAATTAGAGACAGTGTATATTCGTAGACAGACTCAAACAACTAACCTTTTTCAGGAAATTAGTAATAATCCAGAACATAAACTATATCGATTTTTACCGAAGTTAAATAAATGTAATTTTAAGCTTAGGAATACTCGTAAATTTCAAGTTCCTGTCTGTAAAACTAACAGACTTCAGAACAGCTTTTTTTATAGTAATTGTACATAGTTTAGTCGTACTTAGATCTTTTAATTGTATTTTTGATGTTATTGTAAATTCCTAATCTAATTCAGCTCAATTTTGGCTGTAAATTTTGGGATCATTAAACTATCTATCTATCTATCTATCTATCTAA